AAATAAATAAATAAATAAATAAATAAATAAAATAAATAAATAAATAAATAAATAAATAAAATAAATAAATAAATAAATAAAGGAGACAAAAAGGAGACAAAAAAGGAGAGAGAAAAAAAAGGAGACAGTTGCCTACCAATAGGGTAGAGGAGGGACTGTATATACACCCGAGTAATTGCTGCTGTTAATAATTTTTTATTTTCTTCTCCTTTAGGTATTGCTGCTGCTGCTGCTGCTGTTGCTGCTGCTGCTGCAGATAATGTTGCTGCTTTTGCTGCTGCTGCTGCTACTGTTGCTGCTGCTGCTGCACGATTTGCACCACGATGCAGCAATCTCCCTGTCTTTGCACCTAAAAAAAAACAGCAGCAGCAGCAGCAGCAGGAGCAACAGCAACAGCAGCAGGAGCAGCAGCAATAGCAGCAGGAGCAGCAGCAGCAGCAACAGCAACCCCAGCAGCAGCAAAAGAACAAACAGCAAATATAATTATCTTCTATTATCTTCTTAAGAACATATCTCGTGCTGTCTGCTGCTGCTGCTGCTGCTGTTGTTGTTGCTGCTGCTGTGCTGCTGCTGCTGTGCTGCTGCTGCTGCTTGGTGTATCTTTATATTTAGCTGCTTACTTAAAAACCTAACCTTAGAAGATAATCCAAGACACTGCTGCTGCTGCTGCTGCTGCTGCTGATGCTTCTCTTGCTGCTGCTGCTGCTGCTGCTCTTTGTGCTGCTGCTGTTGCTGTTGCCCCTCCTGTTCCTGTTTAATAAGCAGCAAGACACAAGCAGCAACAACAGCACAAATAAGCCAAGCCAAGAGCAGCAACAGCAGCAACAGCAACAACACCGACAGCAGCAGAAGCAACAGCAGCAGCAACAACAACAGCAGCAGCAACAGCAGCAGCAGCAGCAGCAGGTACCTGTTCATGGCAAGTATTATTAGGCCAAGGGATATTTTGTGCTGCAGATAGATTAAACACATTAGACAGCAGCAAACGGCGAGGTGCTGCTGCTGCTGCTGCTGCTGTTGCTGCTGCTGCTTTTGCTGCATCTGCTGCTGCAGGAGAAGGAGAAGATGTATGGAAGACATGACAGTGTACTGCCTGCTGCTGCTGCTGCAGCAACAGCAGCAGCAACAGCAGCAATACACTTCCAGCTAGCCGCGGCAACAGCAGCAGCTGATTGCGCTGCTGCTGCTGCTGCAGTTGCTGCTGCTGTTGCTGCCGCATTTTTTGTGTCATTTTGTACATGTTTGCTGCTGCATCGGCTGCAGTTGTTGCTGCTGTTGCTGCAGTTGTTGTTGCTGTTATTGCTGCAGTTGTTGCTGCAGCAGCAGCAACTGCTGCTGCAGTAGATTATGCTGTAGGGTGTGTATGAGGTTTCTTCTCATTTAGCTGCCGAGACACCTGAATGTTGTTGCTGCTGCTGCTGCTGGTCATGCAGCCCTGCTGCTGCTGCTGCTGCTGCTGCCCGTATTGCTGCTGTTGCTGCAGCAAATAGAGATAAAAGGCATTATTTATTATTATAATAAATAAAAAAGAAATAAAATAAAAAATAAATAAAAATAAATAAGCAGCAGCAACTCCTTTGTCTCGTTGCCTTGCTGCTGCTGCTGTATATATATAGCTGAGGTGTACAGACACCTCAAGAATCGGCTGCTGCTGCTGCTGTTGCTGCAGTTGCTGCAGTTTCTGTACTATTAAGGCATTTAATTTAATTAATTTATTTTTTATTTACTTAATTTAATTAATTTAATTAAATATAATTATATATTATTATATATAAGAAGAAAAACAACAAAATAAATAAAAAGAAGAACTCCTTATCTGCTGCTAATTCTTCCTCTTAATGCCTATTTATTCCTCTTCCTATAATACCTCTAAACCCTAAACCCTAAACCCTAAACCCTAAACCCTAAACCCTAAACCCTAAACCCTAAACCCTAATTTATATTATTATTTTATTAATTATTATTAACTTCCTTCTTATCCCTCTAGTGACCTCTTACTGGTAACACCCCACCACCCCCCTGTCTTCTTCGTAAACCCTAAACCCTAAACCCTAAACCCTAAACCCTAAACCCTAAACCCTTGTTAAGATTGCTGCATGCAGCAACATATAAAGGCAATTTAATTATTTATATATATTTATTTATATTTATTTATATTTATTTATATTTAATTTATATTTATTTATATTATAAATTTAATTATCTTTTTCTTGCTGCAGTGTACCTGCAGGTACACCTGAAGTATTTTATCTTTCTTCTTCTAAATAATAAACAATTTATCCTCCCTTGCTGCGGTGCCTACTTTGCTGCTGCTGCTGCAGCTGCTGCAGCTGCTGCTGCTGCAGCGGCAGCAGCTGCAGCAGGAGCTGTTCAGGTGTATAGGCAGTTAGTAAACACCAAAAATATATATACTCGTTAATTAAGCAATAAAATAAATAAATAATTAAATATAAATAAATAAATATAATTAATTAATTAAACAAAATTAAATAACTGTTTTTTCTTGTTTTTTATTGTGTTAACAAGAGAAGAAATCAATTGCTGCTGCTGCTGCTGCAGCATGCACACTGCAGCAGCAGCAGCAGCAGTAGCAGCAGCAGCTGTAGCAGCTGCAGCAGAAGCAGCAGCAGGAGCAGCATCACTCTTCGGTGGTCTCAACTGCTCTTCTTTGTGCATTCTGCTGCTGTTGCTGCTGTTGCAGCTGCTGCTGCTGCAATTGTTGCTGCTGTTGCTGCTGCTGCTGCTGCTGTTGTTGCGACTTAGACAGCAACTTGCGGCAGTCGCAAAATCGGAATAGAAACCCTAAACCCTAAACCCTAAACCCTAAACCCTAAACCCTCGAATGAGGGAGTTGGACTTAGCCCTTAGACAAAGATGCTACAATAACACCTGCAGCAGCAGCAATAGCTGCTGCTGCTGCTACTCCTCTTTCTGCTGCTGCTGCTCCTCCTCCTCTTCCTTCTCCTCCTCTACCTGCTGCTGCTGCTGCTGCTGCTGCTGCTGCGAATCCTCCTTTGCAGTGTCTTGTGAGGTTTTATTACTTTCTTCCTCCATCTCCTCAACAACAGCAGCACTGCTGCTGCTGCTGCTGCTGCTGCTGTCTGCTTCTTCTTCCTCCTCTTCTTCATTTGCTGCTGTTGCTGCTGCTGCTGCAGCAGCAGCAGCAGCAGCAGGAGATTTAAATTGATTATAATAAAGAGATAAAAGTTCTGCTGCTGCTGTTGATTGCTCGGGTGTCTTGTCATCACGTAAACGTAAAAAACGAGGAAAACGTAAACCTATACCCTAAATAAATAAATAAATAAATAAATAAATAAATAAATAAATAAATAAATAGATTAATTAATTAATTAATTATATTGTGGTGTTTATTTAATTGCTTTTTTATTTTTTTATTTTTTTTTATCATTTTATTTGCATACGCCAAAACACCCCTAAACCCTAAACCCTAAACCCTAAACCCTAAACCCTACTTTTCCATCTGTAGTATGTAGTCTTGCTGCAGTATGTACAGGAGAAATAGATAAATCTGCTGCTGCACATTCCCATACTTCACGAGCCTCTAACCATACATCTGGCTCCTGAACATAAACCCTAAACCCTAAACCCTAAACCCTAAACCCTAAACCCACAAAAACCTTAGACGCTAAATATATCGCCCAAACCCCGCAAAAAGGACACGTAAACCCTTTTAAACCCCCGTAAACCCTAATCCCTCCGTGTATAATTAATAAATAAAAATATAAATAAGGATTAGGGTTTTTACCATAATACAATCATAATAACATTTTTTTTGTTGTATAATATATGGTTGTAGTCTTGTATAATGTAAGAAAAGATCATCATCAGTAAACCCTGTACCTAATTTGCATGCAGATTGTAAACACTCTCCTCTTTGATCATAAACCGCCAATAAATATGCACCAAATACACCATTCCTTTTTCCCTAATCAAATCAATATATACACATAAACCCTAAACCCTAAACCCTAAACCCTAGAAACCCTAGAAAAACCCTAAACCCTAGAAAATAATAATTGAGGAATAATAATGATATTCAGGGAGAAGGATAAATAATAAACTACAGGATATTATTAATTAGTATATAAATTAGTATATATAATTAGTAGTTTAGGGTTTAGGGTTTAGGGTTTAGGGTTTACCTTCCCATAGAATGCACCAATAGGTACAAGATCAATTGTATCTGTTAATCCATCAACATAATCTTTTTTTATTTTTAGCCAACAATTACTTCTCTTAGATGGTAAATATACACCATCTTC